TCATTTTTTGTTTTTGTTTGAGAGTTTACGCAAAGGTGCCTGTTTGTCAATTAAACATTGGAGCACATAAATGACATAAATCATATTCACATTAAGCTTTTTAGTGACATTATTGCTAAGATCTACAGCCTCTAGGTCATTTACATATGAATTGTTGTTGAAATGTGAATACTCTAGACTATATTTAGCTTTCTGGTGACCTGAAAGCCGGTTTGCCACTGTGCAGAATACAGGTAAATGGTCTGTTATATCGGCTAAACATATTCCCGGTTTTGCTCATGATGTTTTGACGCATGTTTGTGTATGATGTGATCGTCAACGTAGCTGTGCGGATCCGCCGTTGTACGTAAAACTTTTGCGATCAGTGGCATACAAGCAAGGTCGAGAAGCACGTTAAGATGAAAGGACGTTTGGTAATCTAATTGTAATTGAATAAATTTACGTTAACATTAACTAAAACAAAGACCTACATACAGCCACTGTTAGAATTGGATAACTGTTATTTAAGTACAACCGACTGCCCACATGAGTTCCTGTGTTTTCTGTTATTTTTTTTTTTACATAAAGCGCGATACCTATTGCTTTAGATAGAGAGTTAGAATTTCCAAAAACATAACCCGGTATGCGTATATTATAGTTCTTTTTTTTGCATGTTTTTTTTTAGATATGACTTTCAATTCTGCAGGGCCTTTGACGGTTGCGATGATATATTATTACGATGAGGGAAGGGTACGCATGTCAGAGCGCATTAACGAAAATCCATTATACTCGATTACATTGTGAAAAAATATTTCCAGATTGCTAGATCGTCGAAAGATTTCATTAAATGTTGTTGTTACATGGGTTTTCCTGTGACCTACTCTCTATTTCCGAACTGATAATAACAACACGGAATAAACCTTAGGACTTCATTAGAGACTGAAAAAAAAGGGTACACCTACCGTCTTGCTAGCTTAATTCATTTTTGATCCAAAGTGAAAAAATGAAGTTCAGAGAGCACAAAACCATCCGTAGCTTACAAGCGTTAAATAAGAGTTATGAAAAAGCAATAATTTTTGAGATACATATCCTACCACTATGGAATTTCAAGGTGCTCTACTTAGTAAAGTCATGTTTCGTTGGAGGTATCCAGGGGCGAATGCGACGACTTGCTTGCTCTGAAGTATCCAGGATTTCCGAGACTTTGTTGGCGATGGAAACTGCGTGCCGCTTCGATGGTCCTCAAATTATACAGCTGCTATCACTCCAAAGGTAGACAGCAGAAATTTCATAGTCATGCTCTTTCTGTATCATGCTAGATAATCATAACCTGAGAGCTACGGCCTAAAGTTCCAGCTTTAGGATACTCAAGACTTCATCCAAATAACTGTGTAGTTGCCTACAGTCAGCAGTACAAAAACCGGTCATTCCCAAAGTAACGGTAAATTTATCTTAGTTCAATTTATGTATTTATTATTACTAGTATTATTATTGGTGCTTACTAGTATTATTATTGGTGCTTACTAGTATTATTATT